TGCACGGTATAGCTCATGGCTTCACTGAGTTACGCAAGCCCCTTCGCCACGACAAGGCAGTGATCCATGAAGGGGCCCTTTATGACCAACTTACAACCATTTACAACCTTCGCAGCGCCCCTCAGTCATGTGATCGCTGTAAAGTCAGTACATGTCCTGAGACTTCTTGTTTTTCTTTTTTTCCCCCTTTGCCGAGTGGAGAGATTGGAGAAGAAGGGGTTAGAAGAGAGTAAGCAATGGGGAATACACATCGAAAGCAATGTGCTGGTGCACAACTTGGAACTTGGAACCCCCTTTGGGTCCCTCCAGAAGTGATGGAATTTCCATTGCTAAGCTGTGCAGTCATATGACTGCTTCGCTTAGTGACAGGAATTCAGGTCCCAATTAGGGTAATTAAGCAAGGGGTACCTGTACTGTCTATTGCTCCTCTCCCTTGCCTTCCTTTCCCAGCCTCTTCACAATCTCTCACATCCACTTGGTTATTCCTGTAGGTAGGACAGGAAGGAGATCCTGGATCTGCAAATCTGCAGCGTCTGGAGACAGCTCCATCTGATGCCGGGCAGAGACTACAACTTGGCAGGGAGCTGAAGCTGGAAGAAGATGCTGATGCAGGTAAGACTTGCTGTATTTATTTTAATTTAAAGCATTTGGGGGGCTGTCCAGCTCAGTGTGACTGGGTGGTGTTAAAAAGAATGATCAGGTATTGGACACTTAAGTCCTCCAAAGAGAGACCGAAAGAGCCAGTCATGTTTAACTTGGAGAAAAGACGATGGGAGTGGGGGATATGACGGCATTAAATGCTCGAAGGGATGTCACAGCTGGTGAAAGAAGATGGCGCCCTACGTGGGGCTGCCTTTGAAGACCACCAGAAATATAATTCATTTGGAATAGGACAGCTCAGCTATTGGCAGGTACATGCTGTCATGAGGCCACAGTTCTTATACTCTGGGCTCTACTCTGGTTCCTCTTGGCGTCTAAGTACCCTCTATTATTGTAAAGGAATTTGGAGCAGACCTTGGGGAGAGGGAAGGAATGAGCCACACATTAAGAGGGGACTTGCAGGCCAGACTGCATAAGAAACAAATTCAAAATAACCCCGCCTTGATTTTGTTTAGTATAAGATGGGACAGAGAGAAACAGGGATCGGCTTTCAAGATGGATGTCAGCCCTTCCAGGTAGGCCAGGCCAAGAGACAGTCACAGCAGGGATTCCAGGAATGTTCTTCCTTCCTAAAGTAGAAAAACAATATCAGGAAACCCTGTTCCAGTTTCCCTTCGATGGTTCCCCCTTAGTGGCTCCCTCATACCTTCTCTGTCCCCAAGGTCAGCTCGAAATAGTTTTGACAATTATCCCCAAGGACAGGTCACAAAAATGTGGTCTTAAGTTTAAGGGAGATCTGTTCCCGCTGAATACTCGGGAAAACCTGAGAGCAGTTCAGCTGTGCAGCTGGTGACCTTGAGTGGTGGTGGGGGTTTCCCTTTCTTCAGACTTGTTCAACAGGAGGCTAGAAAGAGACGTTTTCTTCTAAAGTGCTGCACTAAACAGGGGCCTCTGTCCTTCTTTGATTCTGTGATGGTGAGGTAGCCATGCCAAGCTCTACCTCCTGCACTGGATGTGACAGAAAGGAATTGTGACGTTGTGGCCCTTGCTAGCTTTTCATTTCTGAACCACTGCTTCTTCTCAGGGTGTGTCCCGTTGGGCTACAGAGTCTGCTCATGTGCACTGTGCATGCTCAGTGCATGTGGCGAAACCGTCGATGCGTGATGCAACAAGAGATTTGTTCTTTAACCAGCTTGTCACTGATCAGGGCTGAGAGAGAGCACTGGCTTCTATGTCAGTGGGAGGTCTAGAACCTGGGTTCCCTGCTCCAATCCAGCACATTCCCACTAGCCCACCTGTCAGGCCTAGCCCAAGGAACTCCAAGAGACCATGTAAATTCAGTCCAGCTATGTATATTAGCTACAACTTCTAGCAAGAATCTTCCCAGACTGAAACCCCAGCTCTCAAGTAACGCCAGCCACAACATTGTGAATTCCTCAGGGAGGTGCCAGTCTCATCCTCTTTTATCTCCCATGCTCCTCAGGAGATGTAAGAACATGTTTTTCTCCCTGAGCCTGGCCTTCATAATTCCATTCCATCACACCATCCAGGCTCTGGGGCTGAGAGAAAGGGACTGAACAGGATTCCCCAGGGAACTTCCTTAGCTGAGTGGAGACTAGCATCCGGGTCTTCCCATTCCTAGTCCAGCCCCTTCATTGCAAGACCACGCTTGGTCTCTGAACTGATTTGTATAATTGTGTTTTCCCCGTGTGTTTGATCTTCTTGGTCTGGTGCAGTGTTTCTCAACCGTGGCAACTTTAAGCCGTGTGGACTTCAACTCCCAGAATTCCCCAGCCAGCAACGCTGGGAGTTGATGTCCACACGGCTTAAAGTTGCCACGGTTGAGAAACACTGGTTTAGTACCTTTGACCAATATATGATTTCGGTGTAGAGCTAGAGAAATCAGGGCGGGTTTCTGCATCTTTCTAGCAAATATATTTATGTATGTATTTTATATGCTCAGGGCTATTAATGACTAAGCCACATTTATTTATCTAGTTATCAAGTTTGTCACCACCCATCTCATTGAAACAGCTCTGGGTGGTTTACAGCAGAAATAAAATTCATTCAAATGCAATATGAAAGCAGTCCTAAAAATAAATAGGTTCCAAGGAAGATGGAGAGTAATTTTAGGGAGCGTCGTCAGGGGGCTAACCACCACCCGCGATGGGTAGAGCCCAGATCACCCCATGCACACTGACAGAGCCAGGTCTTTAAATCTTTTCAGAAAGCTGGGAAGGTATCCCAAATTTATTTATCCCAGAATAATCTTCAAAGGGGCCATAAACTGAGACCAATCTGTGACATTACCAGGTTTAAACAACAGCTTACATGATCAGGACAATGATATTTAGTGCAGGTATTTGAGTAACCCCCAAAGCAATAAAATGTGTGTGGGAGTGTTTAATTTAAGCCCGTTATATGATCCCTTTTCTTGATATCGACCATTCGGGGCTCTCTTCTAACTTTGTTTAGTGCTCGAAATCCAGGAAATATTTGCTTGCCAATAAGACGTCATGCCGTTTATAAGTTTGTTAACTGTATTCTCATGGCCCATGTGTGCTCTCATTGGAGATGTGCCTGTCATTTCTGCAGATATTTGGAAGCTGCGCGAGAGTGAAAATCATCCACAAGGAAGATCGAAGCAAACAGAGCAACACGGGGTGCCCCCGGAGAGAGCTAATAATGTTGCTGTACAACATCATAATCAGGAAGAGTCCCCTGAGAATCAGCACAGGACAGAGGGACAGCAGGAAGCATACCGTATGGAGGAGAGACCTCTTGGGGTTAATTATGAGGAGGCGGGTAGGAAAGCAGAAATAATTGTCCTCTGTCCAGACAACCAGAAGGAGAAAAGAAGAAAGCAGTGCCTGGTGTGTGGGAAGAGTTTCACCCGCAAGGCGACCCTCACCCGGCATGAAAGAATCCACACGGGGGAACGATCGTACAGGTGTTTCCAGTGTGGCAAAAGTTTCTATGACAAGACAGCCCTGAAGAGACATCAGAGGACCCACAACGCGGATCAAGGATATCCTCATGCCGCTTACTCCCAGCCGGGTGAGATCTTCGCTCTTCCTTCTCCAAAGGAAATCACACGGTACATATGCAGTGAGTGTGGGGAAAAATTTGACAGCATTCTGGACCTCAACATACATGAAAGAATTCATCAAGAGCAGAATCCCAATAGCCAGACAGAGTGTGGAGAGAAATCTGAAAGAAATCAAAATCCGGAGCTGAGAAAACAGCAAATGCCCCTCGCTGAAGAGAGAGCCTACAAGTGTTCTGAATGCGAGAAAAGCTTTATATGGGTTTCATCGTATCGGAGGCATAAAAAGATCCATGTAAAGAACAAAGCCATCCCGGCTTCGTATGAAAGGAAAAGCTTCAAGCAGATGTCGCATCTCGAGACACTTCAGCCTCTCCCAGCTGGAGAGAAACATTACAAATGCCCTGAGTGTGAGAAGAGTTTCCTGGAGCTTGTATCCTTACAAAGACATAGCAAAGTTCACCAGAGAGGAAAACTAGGAGCCCCTTTGCAAAAGACACTTACTACAGAGGGAAAATCCTGTTCAGAGTGTGGGAAGAGTTTTAATCGGATGTCACACCTAATAAGACACCAGCGTGTCCATACTGGAGAGAAACCCTACACATGCACAAAATGTGGGGAGAGTTTCACGTGGGAGACAGCTTTTGAAAGACATGTCAAGGCCCACAAGAAAAAGAAATCGGGACCACCACTGCCAACAATATCTGTTACGCAGGAGACATCCTGTCACTGTTTGGAGTGTGGGAAGAGATTCAAGCAGGAGTCAGACCTCATTCAGCATCAACGTATCCACACTGGTGAGAAGCCCCACAGATGTACCGAATGTGGGGAGACTTTTATGTGGCCTTCGTCTCTCAATCTACATCAGAAGAAGGTCCACAGGGGAAAGCGATTGGTCCCCCTCCTCCAAAAACTACCCTTGGTGCAAGGGAGATCCTACAAATGTTTTGAGTGTGGCAAAAGTTTTGACCGTCCCTCAAGCTTAATAAATCACCGACACATCCATACTGGAGAAAAGCCTTATCAGTGCACCAGCTGTGAGAAAAGTTTCATGTGGCCTCGATCTCTCCAGAGGCACCGAAAGATCCATGACAGCAGGAAACCAGGGGGCCCTTTGCCAAAAATATCAATTACACAGGAGAAGCCCTACGCGTGTTCTGATTGTGGGAAATGCTTCGGCCATACATATCTCCTGATTCAGCATCGGCGCGTCCACACTGAAGAGAAACCATATACATGTGCAAAATGTGGTGAGAGCTTCAGGTGGGCTTCATCTATGAGCCTGCACCAAAAGAAGGTCCATGGGGCAAAGAAACTGGCCCATCTTCTTCCAAGTCAGCCAGACAGGCAGAAAAAACCTTACAGATGTTCTCAGTGCGGGAAAAGATATAGGATACCCTCATACCTCTCAAGCCATCAGAGCACTCATACGGGGGAGAAACAGCACAAGTGCACCATTTGCGGGAAAAGTTTCTTCTGGCAGTCCTCTCTCGGGGTACATCTCAAGAACTTCCATAAGAAAAAGAAACAGGTCCCCGCTTTGCCACCTGTGTCTCGGGAACAAGGGAATTCCAAGCAACGGCAGATCCCTGCCGAAGGCAAACCTTTCAAGTGCTCCAAATGCGAGGAGAGTTTCGTGGGGTATTCAGCTCTTCTGCGACATAGAAAGATCCATGAGAGAGAAAAACTGGGACTCTTGTTCCAAACAATATCGGTTCCCCCGGAGAAATCGTATCCCTGTACCTACTGTGGGAAAAACTTCAACTGGCCATCCCGCCTAGTGAGACATCAACGCATCCATACCCGGGAGAGACCCTGTAAGTGCCCTGATTGTGGAGAGAGCTTCATGTGGGATTCAGCTCTTAAAATACACCAGGAGAAGATCCATAAAAGAAAGAAGCTGGTCTCTCTTCTGCCCAAAGATGACACTGACAAAGAGAAAACTCACCAATGCTCAGACTGTGGGAAAACCTTCACCTCTGCATCATCTCTCATAAGGCATCGGAGTATCCACACAGGAGAAAAACTCCATAAACCCACCCACGGTGAAGAGAATTTCCTATGGAATTCAGCACTCCAAAGACACCAGGCCTATAAGAGAGAGAAACCGAGTTCTCTGCTTCAAAAGCTACCCAGCGGACCAGGAGGCTCCTTCCAGTGCTCCATGTGCGGGAAAAGCTTCAGCAAGAGAAGGCTGCTGCGGAGACACAAACACGTCCACACCAAGGATAAGCGTTACACCTGCACCGAATGTGGGAAATGGTTCACTCAGTCCGCGAGCTTGAAAAGACACTATTTTGCCCACAAAGGAGAAAAGTCGTTCCGTTGCTCGCACTGTGACAAAAGCTTTGTTTACAAAGACAGTCTCATAAGGCACAAGAAGTCTCACGCCGGGTTGGTGCAGTTCACCATGCAGGTGCTGAACAACGAATTCTTTGCGAGACCTGAATCGCCCCAGTTCGTACCGCTGGAGTCTGGCGTGTGCAGCACTCCGCTAGACCTCCAGGAGGAGAAACCCATCCCGGCTTTGAATGCTCCGGAAAAGGTGTCGATGTGATCTCAAAGCAGACGAAGGACACAGGAGCTGCCATTGAGAAATCGTGCTGCTGTTTCAGCAGCAGACCAGAGAAAGGACAACCGATGTTCCTGCCTGTTTGAGTGGAAGAAAACCTTCCAAAATCTTCTCTTAGCCGTAACCTAATGAAAGCAATGGTTCCACCAAAGCGTGCAGAAGATAAGCAAACCTAAGTCCAGAATATTGTGATTTTTGCCTGTCTGGGACCACGTTGTGTTGTTCTTCCCAGCCCCTTAACTGCATTTTAAAAAATCCCAGAGCATGGATGCCCACCCAGCAAGCGGTGAGAAAAGATGCATTTGGCTTCGTTGTTGAACACGAAGTCAAATTAGTTGCCTCTTGTATATTGGTAGACGCAGATAATTGGGTTGAATTGGGTTGGGCTGGGTGGGAAAAGAGAACAGACTCAGGTTTTTAGGTTTTTAAGTACATTGACAAAAAGGTTTTTAAAAAACAAGGAAGGGAATACATTTGTGCCATATCCTGTTTCACACAAAATGCTGCAGTGTTGATTCTTGCTGTGAAAGTCCTCAGAAGTATATGTAATATAATGATTGGGAATTCTTTTGCATAATTCAACTTTTATCGTCACGGTCACAGTGTTATTTGTTCAGTTTTACGGAGGGGGGGAAACTGCTAATAAAAGCAACATGCAGAATTAACAAATAGGGCTTGTTCTGTTCCTCCATAGCAAAAGCCATAGGGTCATAGCTCCAGTGTACATGTCCACTGTACAGAAAGTCCCCAGATTCAGTCTTGACACCCCTGGGGAGATGAGGAAAAACATGAGAGCTGCTGCCATTGTTGGACTCGCATTGGGCTAAGCCACGGTTTGAACCATGTGTTGAATAAACCACAATCAGCTGGTTCCCACAACATACTGTGCAGATGCAGAGGTCACACTAAGCCATAATTGGGGAAGGGGGTGGTTGGACTTTTTTATATGGATGTCCTATGCTGTTGATTTCTGCTAGTCACTGTTGATGGTCTCAGGCTGGATGGAGTAGTGGTTTGACTCTAACAGGACTTAGAATTGTGGGAGGTGTCTCAGCCTGTTGAGAACCTTCTAGGCTGGAGGACGTTGAATGATGTGCTGACCGTATTCACAACAGGCTGCGTCAGGAACCACTTTGCCAAATGTAACTCTGCTTGTCTGGTCTGAACATCAAGAGAAGCCCTGCTGGAGGTCCCCCCTCCTCCAGGGAGTGGGCCAGACAACAGGTCCTTTTCAGAGGTACCTTCGTGCTTTGAAATACTTTCCTTCTGGAGATCTGTTTGGCCTGACCCTGTGTTTCCCAAAGCTCTGAAGACTGTCTTGTCCAAGTGGGCTTCTGATCTTGGATGATTAGGGGCAACCATCTTTGTTTTGTTTTATTATGCTACCATTTTTATGCATTTCGTGGCTTTGTGGTACACAGGCCAAAGTCAGCATGATCCAGGCAGTTCACAAACACTGTAAATAAATTAACTCACCCCCGTTTAAGGGAATTCTATCCATTAAATCAAGGTTTTACCTAGAACGATGGCACTTATCTGTGAATTACATAGTTATTCAAATGTCGTAAATTGATGCAATAAATGTAAGTTCTTATTTAACTGACAGCTGCTCCTCTGAACGATCCATTAAATCAGATTTTACTGTGATTTGGTTGCTGAATGAACCCGCAGTACCCCAAACAGACTAGATTTGCATGCTCTAGACTCAGACACAAACCATCCAACCCATTTAAAACCAGCCAGTAATACAGATTTAGATATCAAGTCTTCCAAATGACCTGGTCCATTTCGTCGTGTGAATGCAGCCATTGTTTGGAGCTCTCTTTTTTGCCTCTGAACATTTCAGCTTCATTGGAAGACCCAGCTTGAATTCTGACAAGACTAAAATGTGGGTGGGTTAGTCTGGGCCACAGTGGACAGTTTGCCGTTATGTACACTGTGTGAACTCAGGCAATTGGATTAATTAGAACAGTGTTCTCCAAGCATGCTGGCTGGGGAATTCTGGGAGTTGAAGTCTACACATCTTAAAGTTGCTGAGGTTGGGAGACACTGATTTAGATATATAAGCCGGGTGGAATGAGACTAATCTTGAATTATGATTTAAAAAAAAAAGGAATATATCTATACAATCGTCATATTGCCAGAAAGAAGAAAGCATGTTTTATTATAAAGCCACTTACGGGAATTCCATGGCTGAAAAGGAGGAGCTGAAAACAAGGGAGAGAAAGAAGCAGGGAAAGAAGATAAACAGGTTTTTGGAAGAATACATCGCGTACAGATTAACCACGCTGCTTCTAGAGACAAGCAGAAGTCCCGCAGAATGGAGGGATTCAGCACTTTCATGAGGACTAGTCTTTCTGTACTTCAAGCGAATCTCAAGAAGGTTGAGAACCGAGTCCTGAGAATACGTTCGAAGAGGCAATGTCTCGTGTTTCTTAATCTCTTGGACCTACTTCAGAGGTGGAAAAAGCTGTGCAGAGGCTGATGGGGGGGGTTACACTCGCACCCTACCTTATCTATCTACTCTTCCCTCTTCCCATCCATGCCAGCTCAGGACCCTGTTACACATATTTAATCTTGCAATTTTCTTGGGGCAGAAGTTGGGCGCAAGGACTAAAGATCCTTCTAGTTCAATGCTTTTCAAACTTGACAACTTTAAGACGTGGACTTCAATTCCCAGAATCCTGGGAATTGAAGTCCACATGTCTTAAAGTTGCCAAGTTTGAAAAACACTGATTTATAATGTCCTTCATGGTATAGGGCATGGAACCGTCTGCCCACGCTGGCTGGGGAATTCTGGGAATTGAAGTCCCCACATCTTAAAGTTGCCAAGTTTGAAAAACACTGATTTATAATGTCCTTCGTGGCACAGGGCATGGTTATTGGAGGGACCGACTGCCCATCCCGTACAATCCAGCACAGTCAGCATGCCCCAGGTCCCACTGATTAAGCACTGGGCCCTGATGGGACCTGCAAAGATACCCCCTAGAAATCCATATGGCCCCCATCCTGGGCTTATTTAGATCATGTTGGCTGGGGAATTCTGGGAGCTGAAGTCCACCTATCTTAAAGTTGCCAAGTTTGAAAACACTGTTCTAACTGAATATTCTACCCCCTACAGGAGCCAGTCAGACTCTTCCAATTAGAGGGCTACAAGCAGGGCAGGAAGATGCCCCCCCCCCAAAGTCCTGGCATCTGGCACTACGGCCGCGTTATTACCTATCACGACTGACAGCCACGAGTGGTTGCTGAAACAGCAATGTTTCTTCTGTAAATGCTACAACGAGGGTGTTGCACAAACAGGGACAACAGTAATAAATGGGAGGGGGTGCACACATTGTTAAAACCGGTTTCCTCTGGTTCAAGCACGAGCACCAGGGTTGTGTGCATCCGTGACTCTGCAGCGTGGCAGATTGTGACTTCTCTCCCTCCTCCATCTTTGGCGGTGGCTGGGTTTGCTGACCTGCCTGGTCAAACTGTTCTGCAGACCTCAAAAACTTTGCACGCTGTTTTGTGATTTGCCCTAATAAAATAGTGCCCTAATACAGATTCTGGCATTCAGATTCTCTGCCCGCTCCCCGAAACCAAACTAGACAGACTGTACCTTGGCCTGTTTATTGATATTTGCAACAAGCATTTGCTAGTCATAAAATCCTGTCATTCTACAGACCCCATTTCTAACTCAAGGAAGATTGGTCAGGTACTTCCCGTGCCTTTTCAAACATTTCTTTCCATGAAGATTAGAAACGAATGCTCCTTTTTACTGGTTTTTTCCTTCCCCTTCTTAAAGCTGCTTTCTATACCTTCCCAAAGCTAAAAAGCCACATTGGCATGGAATGGCGGAATAGCTATGGGGGCAAATGCATAACCTCTCCTGCTTTGCATGCAGAAAATCTTGAATCCAACCCCCAGCTTCTCAAAAGAGCCAGGTAATCATAAAAAATAATAATAATAAATACTTAACATTTGTATAGCATTTTTGAGCAATCAAAGCCCTTCACATATATAAAGCCCTTCACATATATTTATCTTGAAATAGAAAGAAATCCTTAGAGCAGTGTTTCTCAACGTTGGCAACTTTAAGACGGGTGGACTGCAACTCCCAGAATTCCACAGTCAGCTCTGCTGGCTGTGGAATTCTGGGAGTTGCAGTCCACCCGTCTTAAAGTTGCCAAGGTTGAGAAACACTGCCTTAGAGCAATCATGTACGGTACGTCAGTATTATTACCTCCCCATAATGCAGATGGGTGGGACGCAGCTGAGAGAAGGCCCCTTAGGGAGTTCACAGCAAAAGTGAGATTCAATAGGGACATTCAGATTCGTAACTGGTACGCGACGAGTAGGTAAAAAAACGAGAGCTGGGTAGTGCGGTGGATTCGATTCTCAAAAGATTTCTCCAGGTGGAAACTTAGCCCCCGTCTTCCACTGCTGAAGGTAGCTAGTGGTTGGCCCAGCGGTCTCCTGCAGCTGTCACATAGAAAAAGCAATGGCTGCTTTAAAGGATTGAAGACGAGGGTTAAGCAGGCCTCCCTACTGGCTCCAAGGTCCTTTTTGGAATCAAATCTGCAGCACTGCGCAACCCTAAAAAAGACCCCCAGCCACAAGATGGAGAAACCGTCTGACCCAGGGCTTCCTAACAAGTCCTTCCTCGCCTCAGCTCTCTCGATTACGGTTTTGGGCAATTCAGATTGCTCAAACCATATCGAGTCACATCCCAAAAAAAGCAGCCGCCCCGAACGGGGTCGCCGTGCCGAGTTGCCCTACTATCGGAATGGATCAACAGGGCTTGCGGCAAACGACTCGTCAGAGGGACCATGCGCCAGAGTGAAGTTCTGGCTGACTTCCTTGCAACTTCAGCGGGACAAGCTTGTGTGGATTGGACCATTGTACAACTCGTCCAGCAGCGGTCACCTGGAGACTCTCAACAACCAAACACAGGAGTGAGCATTTTGTTCCCCGCCACAGCCCTCCCAGGTGAGCTGGAAACAGCCGTGGGTGCAATTCGGATCAGAGGTTTGACGAGCTCCTCTCCTCCCCAGAGTTAGTCCAAGGAGGAGGTGCCACGAATCATCTCTCTCCCAGAAGAGTACCGGCTCACTCCCCCGAGTGCGTCTTCTTGTGTGCAATCAGGTACAGGCCTCGGGTGAAGCTTTTCCCACAATCCAAGCACTTGTAGGGCTTCTCGCCCCGGTGGGTCCTCTCGTGGGCCGTGAGGTTGGAGCTGCGGCGGAAGGCCTTCCCACAGTCCGCGCAGCTGTACGGCTTCTCCCCGGTGTGGGTCCGCTCGTGGACGATGAAATCCGAGCTCCACCGGAAGCTCTTGCCGCAGTCCAGGCATTTGTACGGCTTCTCGCCCGTGTGGGTCCGCATGTGCGTGGTGAGGTTGGAATTGCGGTTGAAGCTCTTGCCGCAGTCGGCGCACTGGAAGGGCTTCTCGCCTGTGTGGATCTTCTTGTGGCGGATGAAGTGGGAACGGTGGTCAAAGCTCTTCCGGCAGTCCTGGCACTTGTACAGCCGCTCCTCGGTATGGATCCGCCGGCGGAGAACAACACACCGCTTCTGCCGCTGGCTCTCTTGGATCCTCTCCTGGAAAAGGATCCCGCTGAGATCTTTGTAGCCCACTCGGCAGGGGATCGACTCTGACCCTCTCTTGGTCGGGAGGGGGCCTGAAGACCTTTCGGGCCTCAGCTCGTTCTCAGAAATTTTGCCCAGTCCGGGACGGGGCAAGAGGCTGTCCTGGTTCTTTGGGAGCGACGTCCTGCCAGCAGTCTCTCGCTCAAGGTAATCTTGGGCCCAGAGGGTTGGCCGGTCCTGTTCATTCAGCAGCCTGCCCCCTGCTGGAGGAAGAGCAGAAGGAAGAGTAAATTTGGGCATAAAACTTGCTTTATCTGCATCCTTCAGTCAGATAAGGTGTCTGACTTCTCCCATCACCTCCACTCCACTGGCCATGCTTGCTGAAGATGATGGAAAATAGAAGCACCACATTGGGACTGGGGGGCTTACCGACTTACTTCCTAATCTGTATAAAAAAGAGGGACAAATATGTCTGAGCATGCTGTGGGAAGCCTCCTTGTGTGGCTCCCAAATTGCAGCTTCATGCCTGCAATCAATTGTTGGTGGACGATTATGACCCGTAGTTCAACAACCCCCCCAGCTTAGCCCAACATGCAAACCAGCTATCTCTGATCAGTGCAGAAACTGAAATTAAAGCATCGCGGAATGATGGTGGTTTGGTCTTTGCTTGAAGATCGCCAACGAAGAGGATCCCACCACCTCCCTGGGAACAAGACTTCCAAGACTTTTCCTAACGCTCAACTGGGGTGCTGTTTCCTTGTAACTGAACTCCACTGTTTTGTGTCCTCACCTCTGGAACGAGACAGAACAGGGGTTGGCCTGACATCCTTTCAGATATTTGAAATTCCATCCCAAGCCACCCTCTTTCCCTTATCAAGGCTCCATGTGACCAAATCCATCAGTGTCTCTTCATGGGACGTAGCTTTGGGTGCCCCTGATCGCCCTATGTGCCCTTTTCTGAATCTGTTTCAGTTGGCTGGGAACCTCCTTTAAAATGAATAGCACTGGAGTATCCTTCAGATGAGGACCTGGCCAATGTTGGCCACCGTGGAATAAATAATAATAATAACAATAAAAATAACAACAACAACAACAACAACAACAATACTCGCCATAATAAAAAATAATTATAGCACCCACCAACACCCAACAACTCTGAGCGGATCACAAGTAAAACATTAAAACAAGAAAAAAAATACAATAATAGACAAAAATGAAGAATAGAAGATGGCAAGGATGACTAAAAAAATCAGGAACGATAAAAAAATGAACACACACAACCCCAAGGGGTTTCAGTCACCCTCGCCAGGCCTAGGCGAAGAGCCAGGTCTTCAAGGCCCCTCCAAACACCAGCAGGATGGCAGCCGCTCAGATCTCGGGGGAACCTGATTCCAGAGGGCAGGCGTTGCTACAGAGAAGGCAGCTTCCGGGGTCCTGAGAGATGGCACTGTTTAATCGAAGAGACCCAGAGCGTGCCAAGCCTGCAAGATCGGATGAGCCGGACAATGCTATGGGAGACGGGCAGTCCCTCAAGCAACCAGGCCCTTGTCCTGTAGGGTTTTATAGGTAGCCACCAGCCCTTTGAATGGACCCCAGAAACAGACTGGCAACCAGTGCAGGGAGGAACAATTCCTCCGCTTAATTTGGATAGATAGCCAATCTGCTAGATGTATTTGTCATGGCAAGGAGATGTAGTGGTGTGTACCACATTTTCTCCATCTGCCTTTGTTTAAAGCAACTCGATCATCTCCGTGTTCTTGTTAGAGCAATCTCGTTATTTATTTCCCAGCACAAACCTGGCACTGCTTTGCCAGAACCGAATCTATCCATCTGGTGAGAACACCCCAGGAAGGCCTGTGATGAGCCCCTGTTCTCTTTGAAGTGAGGGGCACATGGACAACAGACCTTCTCCCTGGTGGTCCTCTCCCCACTCTTTGAAACTCTTTCATGGTTTTTAGAAGATCTTTAAAGACAGATCTATTTGGTCAGCGGGTAGCTGACGTTATTGGTATCCATCCTAGGGGCGGGTTCATTTTATTTTACTGTCACTGATTGGGTTTTTTTTAATCATTTTTTATTTATTTTATTGCATCTATAACTTTAAACTTGTGGTAAACTGGCCCAGATACTTTTAAATGGGCAAGCCATAAAAAGGAAATGAATGAATGAATGAATGAATGAATGAATGAATGAATGAATGAATGAATGAATGAATTTATTTATTTATTTATTTTACGCCAGCCCTGCCAGAGGAAGGCAAGAGGGTATGAATGGGCAAAGCTGGCCTCAGAGAGATGCTTCTGAGGGCTGATAAATGAAGGTAAATAATAGAAATTCCAAATAAGAATTGTAAAATGGCAGGCCATAAAAAGTTTGAAAACTTTCTCAGGAGGCAGAACCAGGGCGTCTGCTCTCATGTCCTGAGCTGGAGAAGACGGCATTTCCAACAGCTGAAAAGATTGAAGATTCTATCCTTGCTATGAATCATCCCTTAATTATGGGGTGGTTTTTTTTTTTCCTAGGCTTTTTCAATAACTTTACTTTTCACCACATCTGGATCTTCATTACTTCTAAATCCAAGGCCTTGCTGTTTACTCTGGCAAAATGGCAAGTTTCCAATATATGCTGAAGCCAGAATCAAGTAAATCACGCAACAATTTAGTGCAGGGTGAAAACTGTGGTGTCACGTCTGCTGGCCTCGGACCAGAAGAACATTCTTAGTGGTCTGGGACGCACAACGTGTTCAGCCATCAAGTGGTCAGCCTGATCTTGGCTTAGAATGTTGGGTGACTCCAATCTATCTCTACTGTTGCGACCTAAAATTGCATCTCCTTCTTTGCAGTCAACTCACAGCTGATTCATATCCAGCCTGCCATCTCTCAACTCCTTTTGACTCCTCCAGATGCCAAATCAAGTTATCTGCCATCCCAATGCTTGGTATCTGAGGTCTTTTTTCCCCTGCATTTGTCTTTGTTCTATCTCATTCTATTCAATTCTCCATCAATTAGTTTGGCCATAAAACACTGTGAGATATCATGACATTTGCACAGCCCCTAGTCCCCAAGGACTTGAAAACAACTTTGAATTAATTCAAGTGAGACAGACACATTCCACAAGATCTTGTGTGTTCCTGTGTGAAACCGCATGCATGCCATTTTGGCCATATTTATTTCATTTGTAATTATCCTTTTTCAAGTTAGTTTAAAACCTTCGAGCTGTTTTTTTTTAACTCTACAATACTGTATAAAAGTGCGTAACGGCACCTATCTAAGATCGTTGATTTCTGCCCATGACCATTCTGAACGCTGCTCCCAAGCTAATAAATACACTATACAAATGTTCATCATCTACAATCTGATGGATGTATTGATTGATTGAATTGCCCCATCAAGTCGGTGTTGACTCTTAGCGACCCACAGACAGGGGATGCAACATGCGGTGGTGCAAGCCGTTGTGTGTTTCTGGTAGAACACACGTTATACCTTCGCTTCGTGAGCTGCATTGGTAACCAGTCTATTTCCAGGTCCAATTTAAGGTGCTGGTCTTGATCTTTAAAGCCCTTCATGGTGTGGGACCAGGTTATTTGAGGGACCACCTCTCCCCAATTTCATCTGCCTATCCCACTAGATCTAGTAGAGTAGGTATGTTATGGGTTCCATTGTCCTGCGAGCTACGTTTGGTGGGCCCCAGGCAGTGGCCCTTTTCTGCTGGGGCGCCCACATTGTGGAACCTTCTCCCCCAGCGATGAGATTGGCCTCATGACTCCTTTTGGAAGGTCCCTTAAGATCTGGTTGTGTCAGCAGGCCTGGGGACGCCAAGGGACAGGGGAACTCACGAGGTGGCTCTATTATTAACAACCCTTCGCCTATTATTTTCCTTTTTCTGTTTTAGTTTGTTTTTATAGTTTTTAAGGTTTTAAATAATTACTAGATTTATCGTTTTATTGGACTGCTGCATGCCGGCCTGAGTCGCTGATTAATAAGTAAATAAAACAAAAATGTTATAGTTTATTTATAAGCTTAGAAAATCTACCTATGTGGTCGCTAACAGTCTATACCAGTGTTGTCCAAACTTGGCCACTTTAAGATGAGTGGACTTCAACTCCCAGAATTCCCCAGCCAGCATCTTAACAGTCTATACCAGTGTTGTCCAAACTTGGCCACTTTAAGATGAGTGGACTTCAACTCCCAGAATTCCCCAGCCAGCATCTTAACAGTCTATACCAGTGTTGTCCAAACTTGGCCACTTTAAGATGAGTGGACTTCAACTCCCAGAATTCCCCAGCCAGCATCTTAAAGTGGCCAAGTTTGGACAACACTGGTCTACACCGACAAGGGTGCGTAATCCATCAGTTAATACATCTGATCCACATCCTTCCCACTCCTCATCTTCTGTTCCATTTGCTGCACGCACCCCAGTTGGTTTATTTATTTATTTGATTTTTATCCCACCTTTATTTTTGGCCAACTCAAGGCAGCGTACATACCTAATGCTCCCACCTCCTATTTTCCTCACAACAACCCTGTAAGGTGGATCGGGCTGTTCTACCAATACGTTAGGAAACAGAACCAAAAAACCCACCCTTTACCTAGCTTTCGGGAAGACCCCAGGCAGACTTGATGCACCCTTGGAAAGTTCACCGTTACTTCCTCAAAGGATTCCTGACCCTGAAAGAGCAAACAAGGGACCAGCCCATCAGTTCAAAGGAACTCATGATACTGAGACAGAAGATGAAAATGGACAATTTGATTATGACATTAGAATATAACATTTTTTAACACTGGGAAAGTAAATTGAATCACAGCAGGCAGCACCACCTAGCCAACCCCAGCTGAACTTGGAAAACTAAGAGAGTCAGGCCTGGTTAGGACTTGGATGGGAGACCACAAGGAAATCCCAACACTGCCACCTAGGCAGGGAAGTTGAAAAAACATCCAGGAAAAAAGTGAGGGCAAAAAAAAAAAAAGCTGTATTGTTGTCACCAGGATTCAGGCTTGAAAGAACCTTTACTTCTATTAAAAATAACATTTATGATCTCCAAATGTGTAAAGCTGGCTTTTGGTGCCTTGAATCAAATTGTTGACAGTGTGGTAGATGAAATTAACATTAAAGCACATGTTTCCTTCTGTTCACGTGAAGCCTGGTTCAAATATGTTCTTATTGGCTTAGTTACACGGAGAACATTTTTGTCAAAACTTAACTTTCTCTGGCCACTGCAGGTTATTAAATCAGCTCGTCCCAACCTGATGCCCTCCATATGTCGTTGCACTACAACTCTCATCAGCTACAGCCAACAGTGGTCATCCCCAGCTAAGTGTGGCCTTGATGGGAGTTGTAGTCCAAAAAGCATCCGTTTACAACAGTCCCTTGAAAAGCAAAATTGGAGAGCTTTAAAAAAGGTGACGCTTGCCTGCGCAGCTTTCTCCAAACCAAGGACCCCATTTGGTTTTTTAACAGCTCTGGAAAATGGGTGTAGGCAGGATGTAACCTAAATTTGAACTCATTTCACATGCAATTCCAGTTCAATTAAATAAATACAACATGATGCATTTACGTATTTACTAATTCCCACCTATGATTTCCTGGAAAGTCAGTTGGGTGTCGTAGTTAAAGGCACTGAGCTAGAAATGCAGAGACCCTGAGTTCGAGTCCTGCCTTAGGCATGAAGCCAGCTGGGTGACTTTGGGCCAGTCCCTCTCTCTCAGCCCTAGGAAGCAGGCAAGGAAAACCCACTTCCAAAAATCTGGCCAAGAAAACTGCAGTCCATGAAGTCGCCAGGAGTTGACTGACTCAGAGGCACAAAAAAATAAATAAATTGCTAACCCCTTTTGATGGGCCCCTGGGGGCCACCCTCAGCTTTCTGGGGGGGCACAGACAATGCCCCTTGTGTTATCCTGGTTCACTGCACAGTCCATCACAACTAGAGGAGGCCAACACGGGCTCCACAGTTCTATTCCCCCAGACTAAGTGAAAAACAGGAGAAAGGACCAACGCTTACCAACTGCCGAGGCCGTTGGCCCTCCTTCTGCCTTAGCAGGAAGCCCTCCGCAAGGGCCACCGCCTGGGCACAAGTCTCCGGGCCCCGCTCCCTGACGCAGCCTTGGATCTGCGGGGGCAGGATGGCCAGGAACTGCTCCAGCACCAGGGTCTCCAGGATCTGCTCCTTGGTGTGCCTCTCCGGCTTCAGCCACCGGTGGCAGAGCTCCCGGAGGCGGTTGCAGACCTCGCGGGGACCCTCAGCGTCCTGGTAGCAAAAGTACCGGAACCGCTGCCTCTGGGTCTCCGCGTTCCCGGCCTCTTCTTCAGAGACCTCCTCCTTCACTTTCCAGCCCAAGATCTGTGGGGCTGCCCCACTGGAGGGCTGGAAACCTTTGGAGTCACTAAAAGCGACAAGCTCCGGCAACGGAGGGCTGCCCCAACCGGGATGCGGGGCCTGGACCATCTTCAAGAAATCCTGCCATTGGGCCTCCCAGCGCTGGGCCAAGCCCTCGTCCGGCTCCTGCTTGATCTGCGGTGGGGTCACCCTTCTCGGCATGTCCCTGGGGCCACCGGCCTGGACGACGCAGGGCCCCTTCTGGGCTCCCTCGGCTGGCTTGGCGCAGGCTGTCTCCTTCTCCATTTTGACCCCCTTCTCTCGAGCAGCCTGGACCGGGAGGTGCAGGGCCGAGGGGGCACCCCTCTCTTTCGGGATCGCTTTCCTGGAGGCCATGGGGGGGTCCTTATCCCATCTCAGGCCCAGCCGCGGGTTCCTCCCACGATGTCCGTCAGGGAGCCCGTTTGGGACGGTGGAAGGAAACCTTTCTCAAGTCGAGACTCGCACTGAGGCTGCCAATGGGGTGAAGCCTTCTCCCCTGCATAAAAGAAAAGACGTGTGAGAAGAAAGAAATGATAGTCCAAAACAGTGTTTCTCAACCTCAGCAACTTTAAGGCGTGTGGACTTCAACTCCCAGGATTCCCCAGCCAGCCATGTCCACACGCCTTAAAGTTGCTGAGGTTGAGAAACACTAGTCTAAAACAATGGAGTTTCTGACGCTCTCAACATTTACAGGAGATCAGCTTGCATTGCAACCTTTCTCAGACAGACGGCCGTGGGACGCCATGGGAAAGGCCACCTCTGAGTCCAGCTTGACTTCTGGTAATCCATGGATACATCCCTGCATTTTTTGGGCAGCACTATGGAAATGAGTTGCCTCAGCCTTCTTCTCAACTCCCCGCTTCAGACTGCAACCCTGGGATCTCCTGGTGGTCTCCCATCCAAGCCATCAACAAGCCCAGCCTTGCCTAGCTTTTCAAGATCACCCATTGCAAAAGGGGTCAGGGTCAGGATAGAACTGAAAGGTAATTGAACCGACCCTTACATTAATATAAAAAGAAGGAAAGGTGGGTGATGGGTTCCTACCTTCGGGCTGAATTTTCTTCTCTCGCCGTTGGCAAGGGCTGGTTTTCTCCTCCAGTTACAGCTTTTCTAATATCTGTAATAAAACCGGCTTATCATGATTGCCTGCCTGTAAGGTTCAGTCTCTGTGAGGCCTGAAGCTCTATGGGGAGTTGGATTACGAACCCTCCCAAAGTTTCTCGCTGGCATCTCCTCTACGACCAGTTAAGTAAAGCTTTTAATCAAGCGCTGGGTTAAACAGGCCACCTCCTTCAGCTGCTCCCCACAGCAACTGGATTCAAACTCGGTCCCCACGGGGGTCCCCCACCCCTGGACCTTTACCCATCTTTAGCAGCAGAAGACATACCGAACTTTAGCTTTTAAGGGAACAACTTATCCATTCCAGCATCTTACTAGCCAACTATGTGCCCAGATGCAGGAGGAGAAGGCCAAGGATTCTCTCCAAGCCATACAACTCCTGATCCTGGAGGATCCATTTAGACCACACGCCTAACTAGTTTCTTTAAAAGCCACCAGCGTAAAATTTCCCATCAATATAAAGGCAAGCTTGGGGTTTTTTATATTACTGACCCAAGGCAGTGTTTCTCAACCTTGGGAACTTGAAGATGGATGGACTTCAACTCCCAGAATTCCCCAGCCAGCCATGCTGGCTGGGGAA